CATCAGTATGTCTTCCTGCTGAAAAGCCTGAGCCTGGTTTCTCCTGTCCATGCCAATGAACAGGTCCTCCAAGCTTCTCCTCCCTCTGCGGTGCTGCTCCTGCCCACCTGGTGGAATGGTTTCCCTCTTGGGAGCCAGACATCCTGCCAGTCCAAAGACAAGGGTAGTATTATTTTTTGTCCTTTGGTAGAAGCCAAGAAATTCCCCCACGTAAGTTTGCTGTGGAAGGCCACAATCTTGATACTTTTCAGCATTCCAGAGCTGCGGATTTTCAGACTTTTGCAGTCCATGAGGAAGGAGCAGTGGCTATGAAGGATAAGATACATGTACTAATGTTTTATGAAATTTCCATAGTGTCTCAAGGGGTGGGGTGGGGGTGACAGTTCCCTCCAAGTTACCAGTTTGCGATTTCTTTTTTTAAAGACTGGGCAACCTTTGGAGAACGTAGCATGTTTTCAAGGTACCCAGGCTGAAAAGAGATGTGGCTTTTCACTTCTGTGGAGGAAACCTATGCCAGAGAGATGTTTCTGCTAAGGGGCAATGTTAGAGGGCTTTCCCTTCACACTCTCCCCTGGTTCTTGTCACGCGGACAGAAAGCAGAAGGCCGAAGTGTAGACAATGCAGTGTTTATTGGGGTTAGTTTCCAGCAAACGTGTTCCATAACTCTGACACTGCAGAGACTTGTTTCCCAGTGACTCATCCCCCCTCCTCAGGAGGCATAATTATACCGGAAATGCACGCCTACAGTCCCAGCCCTTACAACTTAGGGTCATGTTCCATTTTGGGTCTGGGGTCTTCATCCCACCTCTTTTGTACCCCATGGCAGGGGTAAGGAGTGAGGTTGTGCTCAGGGACAGGCATTTCTTTGGTCTTTTAGTGTTTTATACCTCCCCCCCCAAGTCCTTTTGCCCCTCCCGCCTGGTTTCTTGATTTTGCTTTGAGATAGGGGTTGAGGCAATCTTAAAGCGTGCTCTGAGTAACACTTTAACTGCTCTTATCTATTCCCATTGTACTAACAAATCCATCTAACTAGGCATAAGCAACATTGCTGTGTCTTTGTCCTTTGTTTACACATATTAGTATCGGAGTATCAAAATTCTATTCCAGGCTATATACTAACAGGCAACCCTCTACATATTGCTGAATGGAGGGGTTTGGTCACCTACAACAATGGACCAAAACGATTTGCACTTCCATTGAAGCTCAAGATGCAGCTGGAGTTTCTGCTACACCAAAAGTTTGCTGGAATATGCTTCTAGAACTTGGAGGCAAGTCAATTGGAAATAGACTATATTCTCAGCTAGCATACGGAGCTTTGATGGAAAGGGTAATATGAACCATGAACAATGCCCACCCCCTCTCATCCACCCTGGCATCACCACAAAATCTTGCCCCTGTGCCTGCCTACCAACGCTGAATTAAACAGAAAAAGAAAAAGACACAGTACAACTTTATTTTTGTTCCCTGACCTTTCAGGTCAGCACAAGGTCACTCTTGCCTCTCCACTGCAAAGGGACACCCTCTTGTGTTTATGCAACTGCCAGTTAGGATCCTGCTCTCAGCCCCATTTCGTGCAGCATGTCTCAGTGTGGGGTAATGACAGAAGACAACAGAATTTTTACCATTCCTGACTCTAAGTGAGAAAGGACTGTTATGACTAACTTTTCCTCAGACAACCGAAAAGTGTTCCCTTCTCCTTCCTGGGCCTACCCACCATCCATCACCTCAACCCCTGCCTCCATTCTTGTGTGGTTTCTGTTTGTAAGGGGACAGCATGATCGGGCGTGGTTGGGAGAAGAAATGAAACTGTATAATCTTCCAAGGGAAAAAAGACAGCTGTTGCTAACTTTAGACAAACCACTATAAGTTTTCTATAATGACCCATCCCCAACTGGGATTCTTCTAAACCCACTCCCTCTTCCTCTGAATCACACAGAACCAGGACCATCACTGCCTGCATGTTGGCTGAAAAATGAACAGAGATTGTTTGTTGATCTGCTTTATTGCTTTTGCAAAATGCATAATAAGGGCTAACTGGGAATCAGTAAAATCATTAATTTATTGCTGGGTTTTGCTCAGGGACCCTGTAAAGATGGAAGTGGAGTGGGGAGTTGGACTGAAAATCAGGACTATAGCACCAGAGCAAGAGGGGATATTGGCAGGGAGGGTGAGGGAATCTATTCTAACTCACCAGCCTTAGCTGTGGTTCAGGTTTGTCGGGGGCGGGATGTGTGTGGATTTCGTCAACCAGCTTCTCTGGGTAGAGGGGGCAGAATCACATGCTCAATGTCCTGCAAGTCTTCAAGGACATCCTCCACGGTCCCTGTTGCCACCTCATCCTGGTCTCCATTGGCATCCCAGCAATGAGGCTGGCAGGGTTAGGCAGCGGCGGGGGTGGAGGGTTGTGAGCAAGTTCAGGCTCTGCACTGGCAGCCCTGGACGGCACCTGGTCCAGCTCATCATAGAAGAGGTATGAACGAGGAGCCTTCCCAGCGTGACTGTTGGAGTCTTTACTCTCCTGTACAAGAGCCTCACATGCTTGATGTGTTCCCAGCACTGGGCCAGAGTCCGCTGTTTGCCCACATCCACCAGCCTTGCTCCGGGAGAAGTTGTGGAGGATGCTGTACCCCAACCACACTGATTGGGGGCCAGCTGGCTGCTCTCAGAACAGGCTCCATGTTCATGTGTACTGGTAAAAAGAGTGCAGTGGAGAACTGTTCTAGTGGGGTCAGCACAGCTTGCTCCTACTGGTGAAAATGGGGCAAGAGGGATCTTTATGGATGGGGTAAGGGACAGACAGAAAAGAGTTCAGTGCATTGTGGGTATTGGAGGACTACTGAAATGCAGAACCAGGTCCATGCCCATTGCCTCTATCCACCCAGCCCACCGGCAGATGTACAGGGCCATGCCACAGCCCACGATGGGTCCTTACATACACCCCTCAGGCATGGTAACTTACTCATGCGTACTTACGTTCAGCTATGTGTTTCCAGGATTTAGCGGTGGAAAGTAGTGGGCTTCTGGCACAACCACATGCATGAACATGTGTACAGTCACTAGTGATGATGTAACCTATGAGTGTGAGATTTATTCAACGTTTGTAACGCATGGGGCACCTCAGCTGACAGCACTAGACAAAGTAACCACCTAGCACGAGCTCAGACAATCTGTGCAGTACTGTAGTAGGTCAAGTACAGTGAAGCATTTAATAAATATTTACTGTGCAATGCTCCAGAGGCCAGAGCATACATTTGTTATAATTTATGCTAATGTGCAAATCCAGGGGTTCCCAAACTTGGTTCGCAGCTTGATCAGGGTAAGCCCCTGGCGGGCCCCGAGACACTTTGTTTACCTGAGCGTCCGCAGGTACGGCCACTCACAGCTCCCAGTGGCCGCAGCCAATGGGAGCTGCGGGAAGTGGCACGGGTGCAGTGGAGTAATCGGAGCCCAAAGGTTATGTATGTATGGTGGTCTGTCCTGTAGAGGAGGTGGCAGCTGCATTCTGCACCAACTGGAGTCTCCGCCCAGTGTCACATTCAGCCCCGCGTACAGCAAGTTACAACAATCCATTCTGGAAGCGTTGAATGGATTGAGAATTTTAGGCAGATTCTGTCCTAGAGGGTGGAAGAAAGCATTTATCACCATGCTCCTTGATCCTTAAGCTTTAACAATGAGTCAAGCAGGACAGAGTTTGCAGCACTCTGGCAAATCGGAGCAGATGTCTTTGATGGAAGGAGAGAGAAGTGAACCTGAGTTTGATGTGTTTCCCTCTGCCAACCAGCATCACTTCAAGGTTGGCAGATGGAGTCTGAGCCAGTTACTGATCTCCTGTAGGTATTGAGGCATTTGTTGAAGAGCACTGCTTATACCACTACAAAATTAAATATGAAAAAGGGTCTGATCGGCAGCAGAGGCAGCCATGCCATCATCTGTCCAAGGGGGGACTGTAGATGTTGAAGTGAAGGTAGCCAGACCAACCCCTGATGAAAGAATCATTGGTTAATGGGTATAGCTGGGAGCAAGAGCTAATGCTTTATTACGGACATGTTGTATGTCCTTGGACAAGTCACTTAACCTCTCTCTGCCTACAGTTGACCCAAATGTAAAATGTGGGATAAGCTAACAACTACATCCCCAGGACTGTGAAGCTTCAATAATGTGTGTAAAGAGCTTTGAGAGCCACTAACTACACTGACAACCCCACGTACTCACAAATCATGAGTGAGCCCCTGCCCCCCCCCACTCATGAGACTGGCTTACAAATCATGAGATTTCTTTTTAAAATCTATTTGAGGACTCTTATTTGACCTCTGATGTTGGAACCTTTTTGGTCTCATTTTCAAGCTTTTCTCCACAACTCTAAGGATAGAAACATAATTTTAATGAAAGCTGAGGTTCTAACACAAGTCACCTGACTCCAGAAGCTGGGGCTTAGGAAAACATCACATGTCACAAGACTTGCAATAAAATCAGTTAGCAATCCAGTAAATGCAAAAATAGTAAACCTTGCTTCTTTACCATCAGATTCAGTTTCTTTAATGTTTTATTTGGGATGCTTGGAACGTAGACTCAAAACAAACACCAACACAACCCCAAAACCAACTGCATCAAGGAGGGAGTCTTATGAGCTCAGCATCTGATTTTTATTTATATAAGCTTTAGGGCAAAAAGGTTTGTGACCTTTCACATCTGCATTGATAAGGACATGTCATCGGTATTAAATCCAGGGAAGAATAGTTCACTTACTGTGAAGAGCTAACTTTTCTTTTCAAGCACTTAAATATTCTCTCTTTCCTGCACAATCCACTAGTGCTAAAGTTCTGGCTCTGTTAAAATAAATTAAAAATGATATGGGAACAGTAGATATATACATTTTTCTTGTTCAGTTAGCAAATGCTAACCTGTATTGGTGATGGACACAGAAGCCAGCGCTATAAATTCAGACGGACTCATTTCTAAATGCAAAAGAAATTGCTAAAGAATAATAGGTAAAACATGATTTATTACATTGTGTACAAAACTAGATTGAAAACAAGCAGTGTGATATATAATATGTTTTGTATTTTGTCTTTACATTACACAGTTGGTAAATGATCTCTCCAAAAAACTTTGTGAACAACTTAATTATTTTTTCTTAACTCTGGACAGCGCCCCCTCCCCTCCTCTGTAATTTACAAGATATAAGAAGGTAGCTTCTTGCAGAATTCATGTCACTATGGGGTTAGTCAGCAGAAGGTGCTCCAGATCAACAAGCTGCCTTTTAGTGCAAAGAATTTCCAACTCAGAGCCTCCGTTACTAGAACAATGTAATACCACCACTGTACTAGAGGCCTAGCAACACACTGTATTCATTTTCTGCATTAAAGCTCAGTAATGTGTCCTTTCTCGAGGATGTCTAAAAGTCCTTCTGCAATAGTTTAACACCTAACTTAAAATAAAAATTAAATAAAAATAAAAGACTGTGGCTACCATTGGAAAAACCCATCATTCTTCAGCAACCACTGAACAGCCTCCCATACTATTTAGGATGTCTTTAAAAACAGGTTTGATGTGGTTAATAAAATACCTTTTAAGAAAAATAAATATTCTGCATAATGTATGTACAGAGGTTGGTTTCCTTCATAACAGGTTCAACAACAGATAATCACAACTCTATATTTTATTCACACACAAACTCACAATGATTAACGCCACCTTGGTAATTGACTTGATATTTATGAAGGAGTCCAAAAAGGAATCAGATGAATATTTATAAATGTGCAAACTGTATGTAAGTACTTGGAAAATGGTGGCATAAAAAGAGTGAAGGATTAAGACAAATTGCTTTTGGTCACTCCAAGAATAGCCCTTCCAACAACTCTCTCCCCCCAAGTCTCAATAGCCTTAATGAAATGTTAAATGAGTACAAAATGGACTTAAAGGCAGGACTAAAAATGTACTCTTTCTTGGATTCAAAAGAGCCTTTCGTAGACATCTCTACAGAATGTGTCTTCTTTGGAGATATTTATCCCTCTTCAGTTCATTTCTGCACACAAATAGCATTTGTAATACACCTCTCCAATTGCCCCCCTCTCTCCTAGACATCCCTTTTTACTATGAAGTACATTTAAAAAGATATTGCACACAAAGCATAATACATACTGCATGATTCTTCACAAAGATGACCAAAAACAAAAACAAGGCTATTGCACCTCTTAAAATTTGAAGAGATCAATGAAGTGCTGCGGAGAAACTGGCATGAAACAGGTGTCTGGATCATTGGCTGTGCAGGGATGCCCTGTATCCTAGTGAAATTAAGAGGAGGGGAAAAGGTTATTTTCTCCTTTAAAAAAAATACCCACAAAAACAAAAAGCTGCTGAGCATTGATTTTAAAAGAAAAGAACTGCAAGAATTCACACCTCAATTTTACATTTTAAAAAGACAAATTAAGTAGCTGGGCAACTGACTACACCAGTTTTTAAGTCACTGGCCTTTTGGGACTCTGGTTCAAAGCCTACAAGGCCCTTACAGAGAAAAAATTGCCAAGAACATACAGTTACTTAGATTGTAAGCTCTTTGGGACAATGACCGTCTCTTGTTATGTGTACACAGTGCCTATATAGCAACACAATGGGGCTCCAAGCCCTGATTGGGGTTCCTAGGCACTACTACGATACAAACAAGAAATCATAGCAGAACAAGCTTTTCCACATTCCCTCTCCCTTTGTCCCAAGGGCTTTTGGCCCTGTATAAAACAGACAGAGACAGCCTGTACTCCAGCAAGCTTACAACCTAGAAAGCAGAGAAGATGCACTGGGTGGTGCAGAGGAAATAGTTACCTTAGATCTTTACTCTAATCTAATTTTGCCTGGCTTTAGGCCTTAAGGAAAATGTGGGCCTTTATGATGGATATGAATGGGGAAGAGGTGTGCGCGTGTGTGTGCGCGCGTGTGTGTGTGCGTGAGTGATTGCACACTGGAATAGGGATGACCCACCATGAACAGGTGCAGCATGGAAAGTAGGGGTTTGCAAGGCTGGTGGCACTGGAAGAGAGAATGGGGAATACAGTAAGTGATTAGATCTCTAGGCAGACAGTTGTGCGGGACTCTGAAGGCAAGGTTGAGAGGTTTAATCTTGATATGGGGGCCAAGGCAAAGCCAGTGGTGTGATTCAAAAAGGGAAATGATATGGTCTGATTAACCACCAAGGAACATAATTTTAGCAATGACACACTGAATGGCTTAGAAGGGAAAGAGAGAAGTGCTAAGGCAGTGGTGGTGATGGTGGGAGTCGCATTAAAGGTCAGAGATGGCATGGGTATGAATTAGTATTTTAGTGATATGCCTTAACTCACTTTTGGGCAGATCATTTATAGAGAGGAGAGAGTACACAAGTAAACGGGAGAAGAATTGTAATTAGAGCTTCAGTATTGGATACCATACATTACAATATTGGCTTTACACACACACACACACACACACACACACACACACACACACACACACACAAGCATAAACCCACATGCGGTACGGTTAACACTCTTAAGACAAAGTGACTGGGGAAAGGAAATGGAGAGAAAACTGTAGAGACAGCTAAATAAAAGTAGCAGCATTTACATTTTATCAATCCGAATGACCAATTGTTTATCAAACACGGCTGGTGGATCAATACATTTTGGAGCAATATCATTCTTGGAGAATTGTACAGTAGCACAACTTGTGTTTCTTTTTTCTTCTTCCTCCCTATATAATTATTTTTCCTGTCTTCTCTCACTTTAGTGCTAGCTATGTGCTCAGCAAGACAATCCCTACAACAAACGTGGTTACACGTGAAGAAACAGAAATATTGGAGACCTCTGTTTCTTGTTTTCCCTTTTTTCCAAGCTGTTCCCCTCCTCCTCCACTTTCCCCTTCTAGTATTAACTATTGGGGGGGGGGGCAGGGTGTAACATTTTTTTTTAAAGGAGTAAGCGCAGGAGCAATGTGGAACTTTACAAGTGGAAAATGCTGCAGAATCAGATTCTCCTTCTGCAGTGGGCTCAAGTTCTAAAGAGCTTCAGTGCTACTTCCTTTCCTCTTCTGCAAGGGAGGAAGTGGTCAAGTCATTGAAAGCTACTTCAAATTGTTCCTCAGATCTGTTGGGAATCTATGGCAGGAAACTCAGGGCTCTTCCCCTCTACAAATACCATGGACTGGAAGGAACCAGTAACAACATAGTTCTTGTGTTGGAGCTAGCTGTATTTGTAGTGGGGGAAAGGTCCTTTCTTGTGCATGCCAAGAGGCTTAAAAGGCAGTGGGGATTGCCACATACATCCATTTGGGAGAAACTCTCAAGGAGTACGTATTGTTTGTCATTTATAATTTCAATAGCATTACTTTTTAGTTTTAAAGATTTAACACTCTTAATGCTTAAGTGGTAAACTGTGGACAAAGAGCCTTGTGTGACAGCATAAATTGTAACAGGAGACAGAGGTGAAAGCAGCTACTTTTATTGCTGATCCCCATGCTGCTTCTAAATCATAGCCAACAAGCTATGCTCTGTTAGTTTTTCCATTTCAACATTTCCTTTATCTTCTGAAAAATTACTTTCAGGAGAAGGATGACAGAAAACTGAAAACAAAAATTGTCAAGATGTATTAGTTATATAAACTGGGCCACATCCTAATTTCCATGCTTTGAGCTGTAAGGAGACCAACATGCACACTTCTATGTAGTTTTTAAGAACTCCTTCCCTGCTATGGTTATTTTACTATTTTCTTATATTTCACTGTACCAACATAAAATGCAACAGCAGGGATCGGCAACCTTTGGCACACGGCCCTGGTGGGCCGGGCTGGTTTGTTTGCCTGCTGCGTCCACAGGTTCTGCCGATTGCGGCTCCCACTGGCGGCGGTTCACTGCTCCAGGCCAATGGGGGCGGCGGGAAGTAGCGGCCAGCACATCCCTCGGCCCACGCTGCTTCCCGCAGTCCCCATTGGCCTGGAGCAGCAAACCGCAGCCAGTGGGAGCCGCGATCGGCCGAACCAGTGGACGCGACAGGTAAACAAACTGGCTCGGCCTGCCAGGGTGCTTACCCTGGCGGGCCGCATGCCAAAGGTTGCCGATCCCTGTGCAACAGCATTCAGAAGGAACGTGAGACAGGGTGTGTTTTAAAATTATGTGCATTTTGGTTAATATATCTTGCAAATACTCAACCATATACTAAGCATGCCTAAAATGCCAGTCATACCTTCAGTATTTTACCATGCATAATTCTTTTCAGTGATTAAATTCAACAAGTCTAAAATATCCTATCAAAGGCTTGCCTAAATTTGGCACTTTAAAATGCAAGCTTTCATAACAGTGGAAAAATCATAGAAATTGGATCACTCCTCCTCACCCCCGCCACACACACATTTACTGTACTGTATTTAGTTATTGGGGAAGATACAAGGTTGATGTCTCATTTCCCCCCATGCCCCCCCCCCCAAACAAAAAAAAAAACAAACCCCCCCCCCCCCCCACACACACACATATACACAAAAGAAGGACAGCAGCAGAGCAAGCTTCCTTGTTCTAGGCAGAATATTTGTAGTAGGGGTGAGGAGAGCGTAATTCACACCCAATTCTCAGCAGATACAGTCAATTGTGACACTGGAGGAATGGCTGACAGAGCACCAGTTTGTTTTGCATATGGCATTTTCAGTCACTGACTTTTGATCAATACTGGATTGGTCAGGGTTTAAATTGGTGACTTCGAGTTGAAAGGCTCCGTCAATGCTATCCCACTGAGCCATCTGGTCCTGCTTTAAAACTGTTATTGAGAGCCTAGCCTCAGCATGAGGCTCTTGTATTGCTGAAAACTCAGGATTTGAGTTAATTTTATCATTAAATGCTAACATCTCTTTTGTAACCTATAATAACAATTACCAGAAGGAAATGCTATAGCTGCAGTAAGCACAAAGTCCTGAACAAGTCTGGATAGTGAGGTTAGTAAATATCTTAAAAGACAACGTTCATAAAGCTCATAAACACCTGCTTTTTAGTGTACTTGCTATGTATAACCATAAATCCAGTGTGTTCAGCAGGAAAGCTCAAAGAAGGTAAAAACACGTTAAAGAAATCATACAGCCTCTACCATTAATGTTACGCACTACTGCTGTCGATGGAAGTATTCCACTGACATGTCAATGAGGCAAAAAAGGAACTGTATTTCATAGAAAGCAAGAACTTAAAATGGGAGCTCTGAATTCAATTCCTTAAAACCTAGGTATGGAAGCACACGTATGTAGGCACAATAGTACAAGCTAAGGATGAAGCATCCATTTTAAATGGGGGTCTAGATGCCATGGAACTTTTGAAAGTTATAAAAAATACCCTAGTCTGGGTTTAAAGAAAAAAAGTGTTAAATGAGATTTTAAAATTAAGATCTATTTATGTTCCTTCTTTTGCTTACTGCATAAGGACAGAGTCTGAGAGCAGGGTGCTCTTTTAATGACATGGGAAGCAGGGAGAAAGGCCGTTAAAAAAGCAAACATCTAACAATAAGGTCCCTAACTGAACTGCCTTCAGAGACAGGGAGAAGAGGAGATGCTGCAGTCAGCAGAGAAAGATGCCAAGGGCTTGGATCAGATGAAAACTGAACCTCACTTATTCTCTTGAGAAGGGCTCTTCTACAAACTGCAATGGCAGAGGAGTCTTTCTCCCTGAAAATCAGATACTGTAACTAGCCAACTAGCACCCGCCTTCTCCCCATTGCCACCAGAACTCATTTCCCACCTTCTCCCCATTGCCACCAGAATTAGATTATTGGAGAAGAGTTAGTTTTGTTTCCCTCGACAGTCTTTCTAAATGTAATTTTAAGGCATAGCCTGTCAGGTGTTGTCTGTTTTGCTCTTCACAACAGCATGAAAAACACCCTCCCAAGTTCCTCCTTTCATTCAGGAAGAGGGGCTGAAGAACAATCTCAACTAAAATCCATTTTTGTTTTTTAAACCCAGATAGCAATTTTACTATGGAAGAGCCTATGGATTTGAAGAGCTATGTGCATGTTTTTTATCAGAGGTAAGGCATTGCATATCCACTGGTGATTCTGAATGCTTTTGCTTCTGAGAGTTATTTTAATTTAAAAATCTTGCTCATGCATAATGATTCACTTCCAATCAAATTTCAATAAATCTATTTAACTAGATCAAAATAAATGTAAGTTGTATGAAAATGTGCACCGTCTACAAGGAGCACCAAATGACAAATATAATTGTTTTCTTCCCCAAATTTCAGCTTAATTGCAAATTATGAAGTTCCCATGACAACGATAGGCCTACAG